TTGTGCCCCTTCTGCAGCAAGAACCATGACCTGGATGATTGTGCGGAATTCCTCAAAAGGACCATGGATGAAAGGAAGACATTTCTTTACGAAAGAAAATTATGCTTTGCCTGTTACGAATCTGATCATGTATCCAAAGGTTGTGTAAAGAGACGCACCTGCAAGAAGTGCAAGAAACGGCACCCAACAGCATTGCACATTGATGGTTTCACAATGAATAGAGAGAGCGTCAGTAACAAACCCCAAGCGACGGAAGTTCAATCTATAGCGGTTAGCAATAGGCGCATTGATGTCTCTAAACCTGTACAGGACGCACCAAGTTGCAAGGAGTCCGTAGTGCTACATGCCATACTCCCAGTTAAAGTTAAACAGAAGGGCTGTAACAATTCAGTTGTCACGTACGCGTTTTACGATAATGGTAGTGGCGGCTGTTTTGCAACCGAAAATATCAGGAGACAGTTAGGAATAGACGGTGTCAAGGTTATGCTACAACTCACCACCATGCATGGACAGAGTCAAGTGGAAAGCATCATTCTGGACGATCTTATCGTTACGAGCCTAGATGATGAGAATCCCATTGAGTTGCCTCGCTCATACACAAGAGATGAAATCCCAGCAGAACATCACCAAATTCCCACGCCCAGTCTCATAAATCAGTGGTCACACCTTTCCGAGGTTGCGAAGAAAATCCCTGAGCTTGAGCCTCGCCTGGAGATTGGACTACTCATTGGCAGCAATTGCCCGCCTGCCTTAGAACCATTAGAAGTTGTACCTTGTCGAAGCGATGGCCCATTTGCCCTCCGTCTCCGCCATGGTTGGACAGTCTGTGGACCTCTCCATATCCGAACTGATCATGACAAGGACAAAATAATCGCGAACCGAATTACAGTGAGAGAAGTGGAAACGCCGAAGGAAATCATTGCTCCAACGTCATTGCTCAGAATGTTGCAGATGGACTTCAACGATCACACCGTAAGCAAAGCACCGGACGAGCGTGGGCCTTCTCAAGAAGACAGAAAGTTTTTAACTGTGGTTGAAAGGGAGACGAAAGTTGTCGACGGCCACTACCAAGTTCCTCTTCCATTGCGACATAGCGATATTATCATGCCCAACAATAAGGAGCAAGCAATCAAAAGAGCAAACTGGCAGAAGAAAAAGATGTTGAGAGATTCTAAATACCGCTCTGATTACGTTTCCTTCGTAAACGATGTCATCGCCAAAGGGTATGCACAAAGAGTTCCAAATGAGTTGCTGATACCGAACCCAGGCAAGGTGTGGTATCTACCCCATCATGGGGTGTATCACCCGAAAAAACCAGAAAAAATACGCGTCGTATTTGACTGTAGTTCAAAGTTTCAGGGCGTGTCGCTCAATGACTGTCTGATGCAAGGTCCAGATATGACAAACTCCCTAGTAGGCGTGCTAACCAGATTTCGTGAAGACCCCGTAGCCTTCATGGGAGATGTGGAATCCATGTTCCACCAGGTTACAGTTCCTCCTGAACAGTATGATTACCTCCGTTTCTTATGGTGGCCAGATGGCAATCTAGAAGCCGAGCTACAAGAGTATCGGATGGTTGTACATTTATTTGGAGCGGCCTCGTCGCCAAGTGTCGCTAACTTTGCCCTTAAGCGAACCGCAAGGGATAACGAAGATAAGTACGGTACCTTGGTTGCTGACACGCTGCGAAATAACTTTTATGTGGACGATTGTCTACGTTCCGTAAGCTCGGAAGGTAAAGCAGTCGAGCTGATTGAAGGTCTTCGGCAATCCTGTAAGAAAGGTGGATTCCGCCTCACCAAATTCACTTCCAATAGTCGTGCAGTTTTAGAGTCTATACCAGAGGATGAGCGATCGAAAGAAGTCAGATCAATAACTCTTGACTGTGACAACCTCCCTATCGAGCGTGCCTTAGGGATACAGTGGTGCGTACAATCAGATTGTTTTGGATTTCGAATCGTCATTAACAGCAAACCGTTTACAAGACGAGGAGTCATGTCCACCATCTCATCAATCTTTGATCCCCTGGGCTTCATCGCTCCTTTCACACTTCTAGCGAAGAAGCTGTTACAGGATCTCTGCCGCAATGAAGATCTCGACTGGGATGACGACATTCCGGAAGACTGCCGCAGTAAATGGCTAAGATGGTGTGGAGAGCTTCCGTTACTAGAGCAATTTCACATTGATCGGTGTCACAAACCGCCGGGTTTTGGCCCAGTTGTCTCCAGACAGCTCCATCTGTTCTCCGATGCAAGCCAGGTGGGGTATGGATGCGTTGCCTACCTACGTCTAATGGATAACATGGGTCGCATACATTGTTCCTTTTTAATGGGGAAGGCTCGTCTTGCACCTATTAAGGCCGTAACAGTCCCACGCTTAGAATTAACTGCAGCAACCGTATCTGTTCGCGTGGGACAAATGCTGTATGAAGAGCTTGAAGTTAAGCCTGAGTCTATCACCTATCACACCGACTCGACGACGGTTCTCCGCTACATAAGAAACGAGCGGAGGAGGTTTCAGATATTCGTGGCAAATCGTGTGCAATTGATCAGGGACTTCACTAGTCCTATGCAGTGGAAATACGTGGACACCAGTAGCAATCCGGCAGATGATGCCTCAAGAGGACTTTCCGCCGCTGGACTTCTGCAGCAGCAACGCTGGTCAAATGGTCCACACTTCCTAGGGAAATCAGAAAAGGACTGGCCGCAGCAGCCCTTTCCAGTCGGTGAGGTCCCAGATGACGACCCTGAGGTCAGAAAAGTTGCTTCCGCCGGTACCATGGTAATGGAAGCCACGGCTACGTCAGTTAACAAACTAATAGAATACCACTCGAGTTGGTATCGCCTGAGATTGTCGGTGGCCGCATTCCTTAGAATCAAGGCTGTATTGCGAAAACGGAAGGAGATTAGAGGCCAGGGTTCTCTCGAGATAGATTCGGACCATGGTCAGGCAAGGTCGGGCGTGAAGTCACTACAAGCTGAAACGAAGGTAGTGGGTGACTGCTGCGCACCGCTCTCAGTTCAAGAGTTTGAAGAGGCCGAGATGGCCATCCTTCGCTTCGTACAGTTGCAGTCCTTCAGTAGAGAGTTTGACGCTCTCAGACAAGTCAGTGACAAAGGCGGTGGAGACGAACGGGGTCGGGCAAAGCAAAAGAAAATGGTGCTGAAGAAAGCAAGTTCCCTAACTCGGCTGGATCCCTACATTCATGAAGGCCTCCTTCGTGTTGGTGGCCGCCTTAGCCGCGCTGACGATCTTCCAGAAGAAACGAAACACGCCATCATCTTACCTCGCAAGAGTCACGTTACGAACTTGATTATCAAACGCCTACACGAACGCCTAGCACACGCAGGCCGCGGTCACACACTTGCTAAATTGAGGGAGAAGTACTGGGTCACCGGTGCCAATGCTGCTGTTCGTCACCTAATCGCAAATTGTGTTACTTGTCGCCGTAATCGTGCCCCTGTCGCTGAACAGAAAATGGCTGACTTGCCTAAAGACCGAGTGACTCCAGCCCCGCCATTTACGTATACTGGCGTGGATTACTTCGGTCCGTACATGATCAAAGAAGGTCGAAAGGGACTCAAACGGTACGGATGCCTTTTCACATGTTTAGCAAGTAGAGCAGTGCATATTGAGACCGCCAATTCTCTCGAAACAGATTCATTTATCCAGGCTCTGAGGCGATTTATTGCTCGTCGTGGGCCTATCCGAGAGATCCGGAGCGACAACGGAACAAATTTTGTAGGCGCCAAGACAGAGTTACAGCAAGCAGTTTACGAAATGAACAACGAGCAAATCAGAAGCAGGCTGCATCTAGAGGGTACAGATTGGATTTTCAACCCACCGAGTGCCAGCCACATGGGCGGCATTTGGGAGCGGCAGATTCGCACTACCCGCAAAGTACTCACTGTTCTACTCCATGAGCATGGCTCCCGTCTGGATGACGAATCCTTTAGAACTCTACTATGTGAAGTTGAAGCTATCATTAACTCGAGACCGCTAACATTCGCTTCGAGTGATCCCGATGACCTCAACCCACTAAGTCCCAGCAATCTCCTGACGATGAAAACCAGCGTTGTACTTCCCCCAGCAGGAGTTTTTCAACGCGCAGATGTCTATATGAGGCGGCGCTGGCGGAGAGTGCAGTACTTGGCAAACTTATTTTGGACGCGTTGGAAGAGAGAATATCTCCCAACTCTCCAACCTCGTTCGAAGTGGAACAGTCCCAAACGGAATCTAGCTGTCGGAGACGTTGTCCTGTTGAAAGACGACAACTGCCCGAGGAGTGTTTGGCCGATGGGACGAGTCATAAGCGCGGAATCAGACAAGAAGGGGTTGGTACGCACGGTTCATTTGAAGACCCAAACCTCCCAACTACGCAGACCAGTTGACAAGGTTGTCCTCTTGCTAGCTAAGGAAGAACAATCGTGCCTCGATAATGAACAATGAAACAGGAAGCTCGTAAGGGCTGAACCTTCATGGAATATTCATAGTCCCTATTTCTTTAAGCGGATTGTGTGACGGACTAGACTCGTTAGCTTTAGCAAAGGACATGACAAGTTATTTTTCATAATTACTACTTTATTTTGTAGCTAAGAACTTTCCATGTTAAGCATCGCTTAAGGGGTCGGGAATGTTACTGCCGTTATGCGTGATGTCACGCACTCATTAGCTAGATCCCGAGAGGCGCTGCGAGTTAAAAAATACATGTGCTCGATCGAAGTGGAGAATCGTTTCAACGCCCGTTTAACGTCATCGTTTATATTATAAGGACACAAACGTAAGTTTTTTTTTGGTTTCGTTTCTTGTTTGTCTAGCCTTTTTCCGTATTTATAGTTGTAAATTTCCTTTGTTTCCTTTAGTTTTCGAAACCGTACAACGTTCGTTCAAGATTGTAAAGTCCAATTCATAATTACAAGTACGCGTGTTCAAGTTTGTGTTGTCGTACCGTTTTATGCGTGCACATTGACATTCAAAGGAAGCAGGCTGAACTTTCAGAAATGATTGTTACCCAACAGGCTAGGAGTCTCCTACCTAGTCACAAGCCACCTACGTTTCCGGGAGATGTTATGTCATACCCAGCATTCATAACAGCCTTTGAAACTCTCATAGAATCTAAGGTAGATGATTCTAATGAGCGCTTGTACTACTTGGATCAATACACTAGTGGAAAGGCCAAGGAACTGATAAAGGGTTGTTTACAAACGAAAGGCGAAGATTCGTACAAGGAGGCTAGACGGCTTTTGAAGAAACATTTTGGTGACCCATACAAGATTGCAAGTGCATACATCGCCAAGCTGTCGAGCTGGCCCGCTGTTAAGCCTAACGACGGAACAGGGTTACAAGAATTTTCTATTGTCCTTGAGCAAGCAAGGAACGCCATGACAGGCATGCAATACATGAACGACTTGAACACGGCCAATGTTATGCGCCAGTTATGGGAAAGGCTGCCGCGATATCTACGTAGTAAGTGGACTGAAAGAGTTAGCAGGATTAGGAGTGTCAAGGGACAGACAGTTAGCTTTAATGACTTTTGCCAATTTGTATCAGAGCAAGCCGATTTAGCGACAGACCCAATCTATTCCGAGGAAGGCATAAGTAAACCGATGAACGCAGTTGACAAGTACCACAAACAGAACGAACGCAAACCCAAGAGAGGAAGGGGTACCAACTTTGCAACAGGCCTGGCAGGAAAGAATGCAGGTGGAGGAAATTCTCACCCCATCAGCTGTACATTGTGCTCTAAGGCGCATCATCTGGACGAATGTGCTGAGTTTCTTAAAAAACCGCTAGTGGAGCGGAGAAACTTTATCAAACAGAAAGGCTTATGCTTCGGTTGCTATAGTTGTGAACACATTGCTAAGCTTTGCAAAAGTAAAAGAACCTGTCAGATCTGCAATAAGAAACACCCAACGTCATTCCATGATTACAGTTGGAAATCAGAAGAGGCGAAAATGGAAAGTGGAAACGGCCAACATGAGAAATCGGAAGCCAGTAAAAGGAAAACGGAAGAGCGAGTCGTTAACGTGTGTACTGCAATTTGCAATGTGACAGATGCCGGTGATGTACCAGTTGCTATGGGTATTATCCCAGTATGGTTGTACCACAAGGACAATCCAAACAATAAGATATGTGTTTACGCCCTCCTTGATAATGCCAGTGGTGGAACATTCATTAAGGAAGACTCGTTAAGAAGGCTTGGTGTTAAAGGAAGTGAAACCAAACTTTTGCTCACTACTATGCATGGTACCCAAGAAGTCGATACTAAAGCGGTAGATGGGCTAATGGCTTCCCACTTTCAAGAAAACGACGTTATCGTACCCCTACCGAGAACCTACGTCAGACAACGGATTCCAGCAGATCGTGATGAGATTCCTCGTCCCGAAGAGCTGCAAGGATGGTCACATTTGCAGATGGTTAGGAAACACGTACCTCCTTACATGGAAGACGTAGAAATAGGACTCCTGATCGGACTAAATTGCCCTAGTGCAGTGCGACCAAGAGACATTGTTTGCGGGAATGAGAATGAACCCTATGCAGTAAGATCACTACTAGGATGGCACGTAAACGGTCCTGTTAACCAAAAGAGCAGTAAACAAGTACATTGTAACCGTATTCAGATTCTTAAGAGCAACACAGAGGATAACGTGAATGGGTACATCATTGCTAAGACAGAGATTAAGGAGCGGCTAACCCCTCAAGTGGTTTCCCGAATGTTTGAGGTGGACTTTGCCGAAAGGGAGCACGGAGTCGCATTATCAAGAGAAGACCGTCAGTTCCTGAAGATTGTAGAAGATGGAATCCATCATAGAGATGACATGCATTACGAGATGCCTCTGCCCTTTAGAGAAAAGAATGTACAGCTACCCAATAACCGTCCTCAAGCAGAGCAACGCCTGCACGGCCTTAAGAAGAGACTCCAAGGCGACGCAAGGTATCGTGCTGACTACGTCAGATTCATGACTGAAATCATAGAGAAGGGATATGCTCGAAAGGTCAAGGTTGAAGAGCTACCCCATCAAGAAGGAAAGGCCTGGTACTTACCTCACCACGGGGTTTACCACCCCAAAAAACCAGGCAGCATACGCGTAGTATTTGACTGTTCAGCTCGTTACCAGGGTGAATCGCTGAATGGCCACCTATTGCAAGGGCCCGATCTAACAAACAAGCTCACTGGGGTGCTCACAAGATTCAGAGAGGAGAAGGTAGCCTTCATGGCTGACATAGAGAAAATGTTTTTTCAAGTCAAGGTTCCAAGGGAAGATCAGAACTTCCTTCGCTTCTTATGGTGGCCAAATGGAGATTTAACTCAAGAGCCTCAAGAGTACTGCATGACAGTGCACCTCTTTGGAGCTGGTTCATCTCCAGGGTGTTCTAACTTCGCCTTGAAACGTACAGCCGAAGACGGTGAAAGAGAGTTTGGTGCAAAGGCTGCCGAAACATTAAGGAAGAACTTTTACGTCGATGATGCTCTGAGTTCGGTACCGACAGAGAAGGACGCTGTAGAACTAGTACAAGCTGTTAAAGAGATGTGTGCAAAGGGAGGGTTCAAACTAACGAAATTTGTCAGCAACAGTAGAAAGGTGATGATGTCAGTACCTGCTGAAGACAGAGCTAAGGAGATCAAGGGCCTAGACCTAGGTAGTGACAAGTTACCAATAGAGAGAGCTTTGGGTGTAGAATGGTGCATTGAATCGGACGCATTCAAATTCAGAATAGAGTTGAAGGACAAGCCGTGCACCCGTAGGGGGTATACTGGCAACTATAAGCTCGATCTTTGATCCTCTAGGGCTGATTGCGCCCGTCGTCCTTGTTGGAAAGCAGATACTTCAAGAGATCTGTCACGGAAAAGACTGGGACGAGTCAATCGAGGGAGAAGTTCTTGCCAAATGGGGAAGATGGAGAAGTCAGTTACCGCTATTAGAGCAGCTGAACATCCCAAGAAACTTTCAGCCTCCTGATTTTGGAAGCATTGCCACTGCTCAGCTACATAATATGTCAGATGCGTCTCAAGTCGGGTACGGACAATGTTCTTATCTCAGACTGGTTGATGAAAACGGAAGAATTCATTGTTCTCTTGTTATGGGGAAAGCTCGTGTTGCACCGTTGAAGACAGTCACTATTCCAAGACTTGAACTAACTGCCGCTACCGTTTCAGTAAGGGTTGCAAGCATGCTAAAGGAAGAGTTAGACTATGGCGGACTCCAAGACTTCTACTGGACCGATAGTAAGGTTGTCCTCGGGTTCATCAACAATGAATCTCAAAGATTCCAAGTGTATGTTGCAAATAGAGTGCAATTCATCCGTGACCACACTTCACCAGACCAGTGGCGCTACGTGGAGTCTGGATCCAACCCAGCAGATGAAGCATCGAGGGGGATGAACGCTAAGGAGTTTATGCGAAGGTCACAGTGGATTAAGGGCCCAGACTTCTTGTGGCAGACGGAAGATCACTGGCCTCAACAAGACTCATACGAAAAAGAGGTCGACCACAATTCTCCTGACGTTAAGGGGGTTACCGCTAACGCGACAGTGATTGAAGAACATGAAAACATGTTAAGCAGATTCAAAGGATTCTCCAAGTGGCAAGTCCTAAAGGGCGCAGTTGCGCTTTGTATGGAATACAAACGACGTCTCAAGATGAGAGCCAGTAAAACAGACAAGAGACCTGTAACTGTTGACGGTCCTCAAGTTAATGGACGAAGCCGTGAATGTGAAGGTTGCCCGGCTACTTCCTTTATGGTCAGAGACCTTGAACAAGCAGAAACAGAAATTCTCAAGCTGGTGCAAGCGAATTATTTCGATAAAGAAATCAAGATTCTGAGAGATTTCCAAACCCAGACCGGAAGTGTGCCTAAAGATCGTCATCATGATAAGGAAAGGAAAGCAGTTTTGAAGAAAAGTAGCAGCCTTAACGCCCTCGACCCATACCTGGATGCTAGCGGAATGTTGAGAGTCGGAGGACGGATAAGGAAGGCTAACCTCTCAGACAGTCTTAAGAACCCTGTCATCTTACCGAAGGCTGGTCATATTACAGAGCTGGTCCTCTGTCACGCCCATGAGAAAACTCACCACAGCGGAAGAGGTCTCACCTTAAACGAACTTCGTTCGAGTGGTTACTGGATTATCAATGGAAATGCTGCGGTCAGACACTTCATATCAAAGTGCGTCACGTGTCGACATCTCCGTGGTACCTTTGGAGAACAGAAAATGGCCAACCTCCCAAGTTCCCGTGTTGAACCCGCGCCACAGTTTTCATACTGTGCAGTGGACTACTTTGGTCCGTGGTATGTCAAAGAAGGCAGGAAAGAAGTTAAAAGGTACGGAGCCCTATTTACTTGCTTGGCCAGTCGTGCGGTACATATCGAAGTAGCCCACTCCATGGAAACAGATTCATTCTTACAAGCATTACGGCGCTTTACCTGTCGTAGAGGACCCATAAGAGAACTTCGCAGTGACCAAGGGACTAATTTTGTTGGGGCCGAAAACGAGTTAAAGGCAGCACTTCAAGAAATGGATGATGAGAAAATCAAGGCAGAGTTGCTTAAGGAGAACATTGATTGGATCAGAAATCCTGCTACTGCAAGTAATTTCGGAGGCGTTTGGGAACGACAAATTCGGTCCGTGCGGAACATCATGGCAGCACTTATGAAACAGCATGGTCACAGCTTAAACGACGAATTGTTGCGAACTTTGTTATGTGAAGCTGAAGCTGTTGTCAACAGTCGTCCTCTGACTACCGAGACCTTAAGTGATCCGCTCTCACCGTTGCAACTATCGCCAAGTACCCTTCTCACTGGTAAAACCAAGCTCATTCTCCCCCCTCCAGGAAAGTTTCAACGAGAAGATACTTACTGCAAACGTCGCTGGAGGCGCGTACAGCATATTGCTAACGAATTCTGGAATAGATGGAGTAAAGAATATCTTCAGATCTTACAGTTGAGACAAAAGTGGACACACAAGAGAAGAAACTTCACGGAAGGCGACATTGTTCTATTAAAGGACAACAATTCTTGTAGGAATAAGTGGCCTATGGCTAAAGTGCTTACCACACGTCGTGATGATGAAGGCCAAGTCAGATCGGTGACTGTTCAAACCGGAACTGGATCAGTATTGGATCGACCAGTCAATAAGCTTGTGCTGTTGCTAGAGTCACCTAAGGATAGACCGGGAATCCCCGACGAGGAGCCTGAGGAACTGTAATGGTACAGAAACAGGATATCTAGAACGCTTAGCAATTCAAGTATTCTAAACGAGTTAGAGTAAGATTTGTTTGGTTAAAATGACAAGCATTTTAGGGGAGCCATGTAAATGCTAGGTGTCCTGTGCACTAGGCCCAGTCTGCGCCGAGGTGTTGTCATTCGACACTAGGTCAAACCTCGGCATATATGTGCTTTTATCGCTTGTTATTTTCGCCTTTATTTCTCGGATAAGGATCGTTTAACTAGTCTCACATCGAAGGAATAGAACATTACGGAAGCATTACGGATATTTCAGCAGTTTTCAAGGTTACGGATAGAGACAATTGCTTGTTTGTAAGGATTTCTTGTACGGTATTGTATTCGAACGGTGTGCTGAGCGTAGTTGATCGGATCGAATAAAACGTGGAATGGACATCGAATTGACGGCTGTTACAGTTACCGCTCCTTATACCATGGTATCTTGTGCTCTTGGAAGATGATATCGATAGCGACTGGACTGCATGGTGTGACTTGTTATTCACAACAATAGAAGAGTGTGTCCCGAAGGGCCAGATAAAAACTAGAAAGCGTGCTCCATGGATTACTTGCGATTTAATAAAGTCATGTAAGAAAAAGAAGAAGCTTCACAGTATAAAACTTCTTTTTATACTTCTGTTCAAAAGCATCAACCAATGGACACATAACAATAACAATATTATCTATAGTTTTTATTACTCCAAATAACTTTCTTTACCAAATGACATTCCTTCATGAAGGACCTTAATTCAACGTGTCTTTTCATAGGTAGTAAAAACAAGCCGACATAATTCGATTTTTTTTTAAAGTCTTTCGTTTCACAGTATGTTATTAATATCAACCCAGAACCAGGTATAATGCCTAGTATGATGGGATTCATTGTTGCCCCACCAGCTACAGTACCAGCTACTATTAAACAAATGATGAGAAATAACATAATAGATTTAGTTTCTTAAACCTCTCATAGGCTTTTTATACAACCACAATTTCTTATGATGGTAATTGTACGATGATGTTATTTCATTAATTGCGTTTTTTGTTTAATAATTTATCTATTTGATTGAAATTATAACACTTATCTTTATGATGCTCATACATTATATGTTTATATTATTTAGTTTAATTTTCGGACCATTAATTGAGTATCTCTTGGTTTAAATTTACCACTACTAGTTTCAATACTATAAGAATAATTAATAATGGTAATAGGACCGAGTGGAGTCCAGTTCGGTCTGTAATCATACGAGTGATCAGCAAAATTGGAAGACCGTAAAGCGGGAGTCCAATTTGTCAATAACGAGTATGATTACATAAAGAATTGGACAACAAGAAGTCCTATTACCAATTAATCATAACCGTTACAATTTCCGAAAACAACATACACATTCAAGTCAAATATCTCTCGAGGGACAATGTCTAAAGTAAAAAAATTTCTCCATTTTAGAAATTCCTAATTTTTTCTAAGGATAAGTAGTTGTTGCTATGGTTATTGTGATTAATTCTGTGATTGGTGGATTTGGCTGAGCAGACTTAGTATGATTGGCTACTTCTACTGTACGATTACGGGTGTCTGACTACAGCAAACTGTCCGATTATACTGTCTGATCATACTCTACAGAATGATTAGTGAAAAATAATGCTGCTAATGCACCAATCACATTTGAGGAAATTGTAATGATTATGATTAGAATCAAGTGATTGTATTGTAATACCAGTGAAACTACCTATTTGTTGATTAAGCTAAAAATGGTATTGTATAATGGTCTTTTATCTGAATGTGTAACTAATGCAACCACATCATTGTTAACACTGGTTTTACAATAACCAGAAATAATGACTTCATAATGTAACTTTGAATTTTTAAATGGAATCAGTAAATGTTAAATGTGACCCTGAGGACCAGGGTCACCTTTTAGTCCCTCAAGACCTTGCAAACCTGGTGGAACAACGTATACTGATTACTCTGTTTTGTCTTGTATTACTACCAGCGAAAATACCCATCTATAATGGCAAGGCCCCTGCGGTTTGATCCAGACGAACTTAACGATTTCTTCGCGACAACTGCTCAGAGAACACTAGAGACTCGGGCGACCCCAATAGAGGATCTCACATGTCTGATAGATAACCTGCCCTAAATGCTGTGGTAATTTTAAATCCTTCAGTAAGCAAACTTTATGTATTTTAAGGGAGCGCTGCCGGAATAGAGCGGAATAATTTCTTGCCTAGTTTTAGATAATGTATATATTATATAATTACATTTTACTGTTTATTACCTAGCTTTTTACAAATTCATAATTCAGAATTATGTATTTTTATTTATTATTTATTTTTTCTTTTTATTTTATATCAGGCAAAGAGCTATACCATGGATGTACTGATACTAAACCGTTATTATTATTATTATTATTATTATTATTATTATTATTATCTATAATACATGATTATACTAATGTAACCAATTTTTTTTTTAATAAGAAGTAGACTGTAACGACCACCATCTAACATCCCACCAGAGTTTACTTTCTTTGTATCCAGCAGTTACATTAATGAGATGACAAACACTAAGGTCAACCCATTTACCACTTGTGTCTTTAATCTTAACAAATTCGATTTTTGAACCAACACCATTAGGATCCAGATGTACGTTATTACCTGGGCCTTTGTAACCATCTTTGAATTGTATTTCATAAATACCAGATATATTAAAAGTAATATAACAGATAACAGATAATATAACTGATAAACAAGAAATTGCTGAATATATGAATGACGCTTTTATCAACATTGCTTCCCAGATTATCTCTGGTAGTCAGTGCATCGCAGATTAAGATCTTGATGTGGCTCTCCATGAGTTTGTAAAGTCAAAGTCAGGAAACCAGTCCTTTGAAATACCACCTATTACTGAGACGCAGATGCTTGATCTCATTAACAAGATCCCTTCAAGTAAAGCGATTGGATGTGACGACCTCAGTGTGAAGGTTCTTAAGTTAGCAGCTTCTGTTCTGATCCACCCCCTTCGTCGCCTTATGAATCTTTCCATAGCTACTGGCTCCTTTCCATCGACATGGAAAACCGCTTAATTCACCCCCTTGTTCAAAAATGGCTCTCGTGAAGACACAAGCAACTACCGACCAATTTCTGTATTACTTGTTCTTTCAAAGATACTTAAACGACACGTCGCAACATCCCTTTGCGAATACCTACATAGCTACGATTTGCTTACAACCTTCAGACAGTTTTTCGACCAAATCATTCTACGGAAACGGCACTAATTAAATTAACTGATGAACTGCTCTTTAATATGGATTGTGATATGATCACTGGCTTAGCTTTTGTCGACTTTAGAAAGGCCTTCGATGTGATAAATCACGAGCTTTTACTTAAGAAACTATATATTTATGGGGCCAATGATTTATCGTTAAAGTGGTTTGGGTCATATTTTACCGGAAGGAAACAATATGTGCGTATATGTGGCTGCTGTTCCACCAGTAAACAGTTGTTACAAGAAGTGCCTCAAAGATCGATCTTAGGACCTATTCTCTTCCTATTGTTTGTGAACGACATGCCTTTAAGTATACGTGATTCAACACTAGACGTTTATGCTGGTGATAAAACTTTATCAAAAACCTCTTGCTGGGAAAATGTCCCTCATCTGACATACGCTCTCAATCAAGATCTCAAACGTTTAGATGAGTGATCAGCACCAAACAAAATGTCTATAAACTCTCAGAAAACCAAGTCCATGCTGGTAACAGGGAAACGTTTGCGGAACCTTGTCGCCTCTTCCACAATAGATATTAACTTAAAAGGAAGAAACATTGAACATGTAACTGATTTCAAACTTTTAGGGGTCACGTTAGATCACGACCTTTCATTTAATCGCCAGATTGAGGAGTTATGCAAAAAGTTGGCGAAATGTATTGGACTCCTTCGTCACATAAGTCCATATTTAAAACGCAGTCGACGAGACATATACTACTCTACAGTCATTACACCTATAATGCTTTACGGCAGTAAGATTTCCTGCGTCTTCAAAACGTGCGGCCAGAATAATTCTTGATGCCAAAAGAACAACACCTTCTGTCACCTTCTTATCGGTGTTATTACTGTCAAATGTTACCCTCATTAAATAAAGTCTTACCTTGCCAATACGATCATGATTTGTGTCAAAAGAAAAATGTGCGCCATTTTAACTGGTCCTACTGTAACACCGTTGTTATGTCATTTTAACAAGTGTGATGAAATTAAGAGCACCGGCACTTATTTCATAATTTTCATTCCACAAACATACACACACAACAGAACATTATTATGATACCCTGAGATGCCATAAACTATAACATGTATGACCAAATCCTGCGCATAAGCCACACCTAACTTATTTTTCAATACCAAATCCATCAACAGATAGTTAGGTGTTACATTATTGCACTTGTGTATACGAACTAGTGATCTCGTATGATCTGTAAATTTTTTAGTTGATAACCTAATGAATGATCAATAGATGCAGAGGGGAAGTATAATTCAAATGCCACTGAATTTTCACCAGTTGATACTGCATACATATTCAACCCAACATGAGATGAATAATACCCTTTGCTGAAATCCAAATGGAGTTCATTTCATATGTTTTTTCATTAAACTGATGAAAGTCCTTATCAATTAATTTAACCCCTGTAATGTCATCCTCATCACTGAACTGTCCACTTCTTCACAGTGTATGCAAATGTGGTTTTCAAATCTTACTACCAACAGACTGATTCAATCCATCATTAACATACTTCTGATAATTAGTAGTCATCATTACATTACTATTAGTGATAGTTGTGGCGACAAAATTGACATTGGCAGCATGTGTGCTTTCATGTGCCTGTGCCTCTTTGACATTAATTATTACACCTCTGCTATTCACATTCAAATTACCAGTCATCACTCTTGTACCATCAGTTTTCAATATACCACTTGCTTGTGTATAAACATACCCTTAATTACTGGGATCTGTTGAATTTGATGGGCCTGCCACAATGATAAACTTATTGCCTTTCTTATCAAGACCTTCTGATACATCCAGAATAAAGGTTTTACTATCGACATATTTCTTATTAACCGCATCCTTATCATTGTTATTACTGCTGTGATAATCTGGTATTAATAGCCTGATTTTCAATACTTGGGGTAACAGATTGTTCATATATGTTTTCTTATCTGTGGTATCTTTCATCTGCCCCAAGGTTACAGCCTCATCATCATATTGTGCTCTACTCAGCTCATAAATGGTCCTACGATCTGCATCCCATCTGTTATCACTTCCTAATCTCAATAATTGGGTATTATCACTTTTTGTCCTGTATGTTGCACCACAAAATGCGTTATTAACGACATCAGTATTTGAAGTGGGTGTACGTACATTCTTGATACGGTTATTATTCATATTAATATCACCTGGTAAAGTGTCAGAACCGTTCAGACTACTGTTTGCAATGGTATCAACATACTTTTTATTA